TACCCCATATCTTCCCATGGGTGTCGTAAGAGGCGACAGAGGGAGACAGAAAGGAGATGGGCAGCAGCATCTTCTTAATAATAACAATAACATAATGAAAAACTGCGGTTGCAAACCCGCTCGCCAAGCGTGGCAACTATCGCAAATATCCCCCCATGAGCAGCGACGCAAGTAAACGGCCCCCAGTCCCCGGCGGCCCCGCTATTCCTGGCTACGGTGGCGACCATGGTAACGGCGGGGCAGGGGGTGCTAAGAATCTCCGGTGGAGGTTCGGTTGCCACCTACGACGACTCGACCTGGCAACGTATAACGCACGCACCCTGAGGACTGACGAGAAGATACTGGAGCTGGAAGAAGAGGTAGACAAGTTGCGCTGGCATATTATTGGATTATCTGAGGTCCGAAGAGAGGGGGAAGACACGGTAATCCTCGAGTCCGGCAACTTGTTCTATCACCGGGAGGGCGACCATCTGTCCCAAGGAGGTGTCGGATTTGTCGTCCACAAGTCTCTCGTCAACAACGTTGTAAAGATTGGGAGTGTGTCGACGAGGGTCGCGTACCTGATACTCAGAATCACCAAACGGTATTCGCTGAAGGTCATACAGGTCTACGCACCAACCTCGGCACATCCCGATGAGGAGGTGGAGGAAATGTATGAGGATATTTCTAGAGCCATACATTCCTCCAAAACCCACTACACGGTGTTGATGGGAGACTTCAACGCAAAACTAGGCACAAGAGAAGGCGGTGAGCTGAAGTTAGGGAAATTTGGAGTAGGGCAACGGAACCGTAGGGGCCAGCAGCTGGCTGACTTTATGGAGAAAGAGGGACTCTTTATGATGAACTCTTTCTTCCAGAAGCGGCCCCACAGGAAGTGGACCTGGTCGAGCCCCGACGGTTCGACAAAAAAACAAGATTGACTTCATTATGACGACCAGACGCCAACTGTTCAGTGATGTCTCAGTGATCGCAAGGGTGAAAACCGGCAGCGATCACAGAGTGGTTAGAGGCACACTGAACTTAAACGTTAAGTTGGAGAGGTCTCGTCTAATGAAGTCAACGCTCCATCCCCCTCGTGCTCTGATCCAGAATCCCGAGACTTTTCAGCTCGAGTTACGTAACCGCTTTCAGTGCCTAGAAGATTGCAATGAAGTGGACGATATGAATGACAAGCTCGTGGAAACTGTCCATGCGGTCGGAGCTAAGTTCTGCAAGACCCGCCGCAGAAGAACACAAAAACTCTCCGATCACACTCTTAATCTCATGGCTGTTAGACGGGAGATGAGGCTGCAATCGTCAACAGATTTGACAGCATACAGGCAACTGAACAGACAGATCTCCAAATGCATGCGGCAAGACTTACACAACTTTAATACTGCTCGTATTAAAGAAGCGATCGAGCGGAACCAGGGCTCCAAAGTCTTTGCCAGAGATCTGTCTGCCAGAAAGAGCCAACTGTCAAAGCTGAAGACTGAGTGTGGCAGCATCGTTTCCGGGACACCTGAGATTTTGAGTGAGATTGAGAGGTTCTATGGGCAGCTGTACACATCATCGTTGGAGCCACACGCAAGTGTGAGTAACGATCCAAGAGCAAGTCTTATCCGACACTATTCCGATGATATCCCGGACGTCAGTCTGAGCGAGATTAGAATGGCTCTCCAGCACCTTAAAAACGGCAGGGCCCCAGGCGAGGATGGAATTACAGCAGAACTTCTGAAAGCGGGTGGAACACCGGTACTTGAAGTCCTTCAGAAGCTCTGCAATTCCGTCCTCCATGGTGGCACTACTCCGAAGGCGTGGAGCAGAAGTGCGGTGGTCTTGTTCTTTAAGAAAGGCGACAACGCTCTCTTAAAGAACTACAGACCGATTTCCCTTCTGAGCCGCGTCTACGTGCTGTTTTCGAGAGTCATTACGAATCGTCTCGCACGCAGACTCGACGACTTCCAGCCTCCCGAACAAGCCGGTTTCCGAAAAGGCTTCAGTACCATAGACCACATACATACCCTGCGGCAGATTGTACGGAAGACCGAGGAGTACAATCTGCCACTTTGCTTGGCGTATATGGACTATGAGAAAGCCTTTGATTCCGTCGAAATTTGGGCGGTGCTACAGTCCCTTCAGCGGTGCCAAGTTGACTGTCGGTATATCGAAGTGCTGAAGTATTTGTACAGTAGGGCTACGATGGCTATCCGAGTACAGAACCAGAGTTCGAAACCTATCCAACTGCAGAGAGGTGTAAGACAGGGTGACGTTATATCCCCGAAACTCTTCACCGCTGCGTTGGAAGACGTTTTCAAGCTACTGGACTGGAAAGGATACGGTATTAACATCAATGGCGAGTACATCACTCACCTTCGATTTGCCGACGATATAGTCCTTATGGCAGAATCGCTGGAGGACCTTAGCACTATGCACAATGACCTCAATGGTGTCTCCCAACGGATAGGTCTTAAGATGAACATGGACAAAACAAAGATCATGTTCAATGTCCATGTCACACCTATGCCGGTAGTTGTGGGGAGCACTATGCTCGAAGTTGTTGACGAGTACGTTTACCTGGGACAAATAGTCCGACTAGGTAAGTCCAACTTCGACCGAGAGGTCAATCGACGGATTCAACTCGGCTGGGCAGCGTTCGGGAAATTACGACACATCTTCTCGTCAGGTATACCTCAATCTCTGAAAACAAAAGTATACAACCAGTGCGTGTTGCCAGTGATGACTTACGGATCAGAGACGTGGTCCTTCACTGCTGGCCGTATGAGGACGCTCAAGGTCGCTCAGCGAGCTATGGAGAGGGCTATGCTCGGAGTTTCTCTGCGTGATAGACTCAGAAATGAAGATATCCGCAGTAAAACCAAAGTGACCGACATAGCCCAACGGATTAGTAAGCTGAAGTGGCAATGGGCCGGCCATATAGCTCGAAGAACCGATAACCGATGGGGAAGAAAGGTTCTCGAGTGGCAGCCTCGTACCGGTAGGCGTAGTGTAGGGCGACCCCCCACTAGATGGAGTGACGACCTGTTAAGACATGCAGGAAATCGATGGATGCAGGTGCTCAGGACCGTGCTTTGTGGCGTTACTTGGGGAAGGCCTATTTTCAGCAGTGGACTTGTGAAGGGCAGTAATGATGATGATGATGATGATAGTTATTGGCATTTCAGGTCAATTACTGTAAACTTTTAAAATCATTGATACAGTAATTGGCCACAATATTTTTTAGGTTAAGTTAAGATGTTAATGTTTTTCAGTTTTAACATGCTTAATGTGCTTAAAATACTATATATTATACAGATTTGCGAACACTCAACTATGATCAGTATGGTCAAAATATCACTTTAAAAAAATGTGTACTCTTAGCATTTTTTTAACAAATTTACCTGATTGCGTGTCGTCGCGAAGAAATCCCCGATTACAAAAGGACAAATTCACCTACCGACGTTTTGACAAAACTTTTTGGGAGTCAGCAACTGTGTTGCCAAAATAAATATTAATAAATAACATTTAACAACGAGGTTGCTAGTTTTTTAGAACCAAAGTTGGAATGGCTAATAACTGCATGGGGGCCAATGACTATACCGTTTCCCCTATAAAAAGTACCAAAAGCACCGTTTTTAGCATATTTCCTATCTCTTACTACAGGCAAGGATCACGGATATAAATTTTTTGGCAAGGTGGCGTGTCCTAATCCTAGTGTTAGGATAGGTATGGCCTTTAATACAATATTCAATTATAATAGGTAAAGTATTAAACGTGTATCAATCACGAGTAACCACGTTGAATTTCTCAATATTTGCCATCCGTCAAAGCGTAAAAAAAACATTACTTAGCATTAGTTATTTACCAGTTTATTACGACGTTTTTTTGTATGTTGATTTATTTTCTAAAAAAAGAAATACGCAATATATCAATATCCATAATAATGTAGAACCGATAGGGAAAACGCTATTCACTTCGTAGGTAATTTTTTTTCACGGGTCGCACTAGGGTACCCAAAATACGTAAGATAGCCGATATGTGTTTAAATCAATAAATATAAATAACAATAATTTTGGTTTATTTATTTTCTAAAAATTAGTAGAGACTATCCTGTGTAATCGAATTGATGTTATAATAGGATTGACTGGTAAAGGGGTGTGGGTTGTCATCAAATGTAGAAGCAGTGAAATATCCAGATGTTGCCAACGCCGTCTTAGGCCATACCATAGTAAAAAAAGTGAATGACATATTTTTCTGCTATGATATTTATTATAGTTAATAGGTAAAAATCAAATAATATGTCATTAATGACTCCATTCCTATTTCAGCCTCATATATAATATTTTGAATATATTATTGTACTGTCAATGAGGTGATCGGATCCATTTACTGTATTTTGCTAGTTATATAATCTCCGAAAAACGAAGCAACGCAACGTCGCGTACAGATTTTAAGGCTGATACTTGTCTTTAAAAATCAGAAATATCGCGCTGTCTCGTCACGATTATACCTTTTCCTACGGGAACTAGGCGTTGTATCTTGCTGTGATTCTCCTAGCTGTAAGCATAAAATGTAGAATAAAAAAAGAAAATTTAGCTACGTCACTGTTAACAATATTTTAAAGTGCTTGGTCCTATTTGAATAATAAATGCATGGTTTGCAGATTTTTTATGCATGCTGCAATCATATTTAGTCAAAGTCGTATCGCTCAATAAGTATGTGAGCGAAAACGAAAAAAAAATTTCTACTTCACATCCAAAACCACACCACAACCTTGCTGAAGCTGTCTAAAACGGAATCCCGAAACGGAATTCCGTATGTATGTGGTGGGCCTTAAGCTGTGGTTATATAGCTAGTGTCTATGGTTTTAATACCACAAAAATTTTTACTGGACTGGACGGATTTTGAATGTCAAAATGCTAAATGCAAAATGGCTAACGTATACAGTGTTTATACACTGATGTTACCGCGAAATGTGTAGTTATAACGTTATTTAAGTGTTAGTGTGTGTTTCAATAATCATGTTGCACAACAGTGGTCCTTTTGGACCTAACGATGTGCCAATCAACATGGGCGCGCCAGTAAACATGACCCCGATGAGTGGAGCGATGAACATTACAAATAATATCAGCAATTTGGCGAAAATAGCTCAGCAACCTTCAGAAACGACTAGCGCGCATTATCCCGTCCCAAATTATCCTACATACGGACATCCACATTTGAACATGAACACTGGTGTAAATCCATATCCAAACTATCCACCTATTGGCTACCATCAATCGAACTACATCCCACAAAATCCCTCATCAGTTCACGATACAAATTGGCACAATGGTATGCTACCGATGAATTTAAATACACAGAGCGACGAAAGTGCTACACTGAATTTTTCGTCACCTGCAACTAAAAGACCTGAAACAATCAATGATTATAGGGAACACACTTTTCCGAGTAAATTACCTTTGAATGTATCTCAGGTACCTACTAAAGCATTCCATAAGCACCTCAATATGGAAAATAATCATTACAACTACCAACATTATACTCCTAGTCAGAGTAGTTTTAGACATTATACAGACTATAATCTTGATTTGAGCACAAAATCTAAATCAGAAATGGACCCAAGGCGTAAGAGCTTAGAGACAACTGTTAAATTAATTGAGAATATTCTTATTAACACTACTAAAAAGAGTGATAACCAACTGTGTAGAGACAATGACACTGATTTTCATGTCAATTCTAAACAAGCTAATCCAATACAATCCTGTTCAAATGAGGAAGAGGATCCTATTAGTATTGATTCTGGAAAGTTACAAGACGAGGATCGAGCCGATAATCTGGATGTGGACAGTCAAAGTTGTGGTTCAAAAGAAGAAATTGACACTGACAAGAAAGAAGAAAATAGCACCATAGAATCCTTGACACCAAATGAAAGAAGAAAATCAGAATCAGACAATGCTGCAGATTCATTCATTCAGAATTCTGATGACGAACTATCAGGGGCTGAAAGTGATGCTCAACCAGAAGACCTTACAGCTAATTCAGGGAAAGAAATATTGAACTTAGATCCTGATATTGAAATCAAAGTGGAATCTACAAGTTGGGTAGACACAGAGTCCTTTAATCCATTTCAAAGGGATGTTAATGGCATGCCAATTGAAGATGCTACTAATGTTAACATAATACTTGGCGATAGAAGTGTTGAAGAAGCTAAAGAATCTATTAAGAATGGTATTGTTTCTTTTTAACATATTTAAGTTGTCTCCAATATGAACTATTAACCTAAATATTCATTAAAGATATATCTTCTTGAACTGACAACCAATCAAAAGAGTTCTCAAGTGGGCAGCCTTTACCTGTAAGCGAAGTTTAGGATGACTCCCCATGAGATGGAGTGATAACCTGGTAAGAGATGCAGGTGGCTCAGGACCGGGCTTTGTGGCATTCCTTAGGGGAGGCCTAAGTTCAGCAGTGGACTTGTGAAGGGCTGTAATGATGATCAGCCTGTGAAAATCCACAGTTCAACATTGGCCTATCCAAAAGAAGCGAGTTGTTTTCATTGCATTTTATTATTTTATAGCAATGAACGAAGTTTGTTTGTTTCTTTCAAAAGTAAAGAACATACAGTTGAATCACACATCTCCTCCTTTTTTTTTTGAAATACAATTTAAAATACAATAAATAAAATATATGCTATTGCCCCTTAAGGAGTATAGTTGCCATAAAATAAGAAAGTGAATGAGCACACATTCCACTTAATGGTAAGTGGTACTCTGGCCATAGACATTTACATTTATCCTCGATTAAGAATCAAAATGTAGATGCATTGTTACCCATTGTTACCCCTGAAGACTAAGAAGAAGGAGTCTCATTTCCAGTAAAAATGGTCTCCGGTTCTCTACACTCACAATACAAAACAGCAGCAATGAGCTGCTATTTTATGTTGGTATTCTGTGAGAGTGTGGTTCTTACCCGCTCTAACCGAACCACTTGTGCTTCAACCAGAATATAGTTGTAGCATGGCTCTACCATATAAAAAATGCATTTTGCTTTGTCGTCTCTGTGATACCATTGGGACCCTTTTTATTATTACATATGTTTTTACAATGCTTGCTTAAATTTGAAAGGGAGTAAATAATCTGCTTTAGTTGCTGTGTGCTAGGTGGCAAAAATCTACACTAACACAATGGATTTCATTTATAACGACTTCAGTTTTAATGACTATTCCATTATTACAATGTTACTTTGAAGGCCCTTGAATTTAACATATACTTGTGATAGAGAATGGTTTGGTTATAGCAATCAGTTTTGATGAGTCATAAAGAATTCTTGACTATGACTTCATTAGTCATTAAGCTTTCTTATCTCTTGTTTGTAATCCCAGATGGTCACAGAATACGCTTAAAATTTGTTAGTCAATAATTTTCAGGATGTTAGATTGTTTATTTGTCACCGCATTTGTTAGAGAAATGTTTACGGTTAAAGAAAAAGGAGATATTATTTCGAGGCTTGAGAATAGTGAAAGAAAAATTAACTTGTTCAAAGAATTAAATATTTTGCATTCTACAGTGTCAAAATATGGAAAAACCATGCTGAAATTATGCAATGATTTGAAAAAAATAGTATTAATAAAAAGTATAAAGTATATAGTAAAGTATTTGACAGCAAAATATTATTTTCATGCTTTCTTAATTTCAAATTTTCTGTCATCCTTACTCCCTAACTGTGGATATAGCGACATCCAGATATAGTCCCTTCATCGTCATTATAAGTGAAATCTACTGTATATTATTATTATTAAATAATTTGTTGAGCAATCTGACCTTATCCCCTATAAATGATCCATTTACCATAAAGGAAACCTTTTTCCTGTTATACAATTTGTTTTAAAAATTGGTAAATATCTTGCAGAATCAGATGAAGAAAAGTATTTTGAATGTCCAAATTGCAATCTCCTTTTTAACCATCCTAAAAGATTTCTTATACACTATAAATGGCACTCATTTGGTCTTACAAATGAAAGGAGAATGGAAATGGCTAGAGAGAAGGAGATGAAGAAGAATATGAGAAGAGAAGCTAGAGCTATGCAAAGGATGACTATGAATGAACTAAAGGAAACAAATGGTGCAGGCAAAAAATATGCTTGTAAGGATTGTGATAAAGTATTTGTTGCTAGAGGGAGTTTAAAGAATCATAGACAGAGGTAAGTCTAGACATATTATCTATTTCTATTTTTTTAATACCTACGAGTATTAGTAGTAAGAGTGTAACTCTTACTTATTAATTTATTTATTTATTTATTTAAAGTTACAGCCTATAAAAGTCCCACTGCTGGGCACAGGCCTCCCCTCATTTCTGAGCTATCATTTCTGAGAAGGTTTTTACTTGTGAAGTTCTACCCTCCCATAATTAAAATTAGGTCGGATCTCAGCAGTGGGGTGTATATATAAGCTGTAAATATTACTTTTATTTTTATTGAAATATGACTTACAATTTTTCTTGATGGGGAATTTGCAAACAATAGTCTCAAACTTCAATTTTATAAGCATTGTTGACGCGTGACACACAGACAAATTTTATTTTAATTTTATTTTATTGATAGAACCACCAACGGAATAACATGTTGTTTTGAAAAAAAAATGTGACAATAGGCTTAGGAACTAAGATTTACATGTTTCCATTTAAAGGTAGTTACAGCATGTTTAAAAAAAACAATAACTGTACGATAACTTAATAATTGTTACAAGTACAAGTAAAATACTAATATAAAACAAACAAAAACAATATGAAATATATGAAAATTAAAAATATATAAAAATAACATTTATATAGAGTTTATATAAAGTTATGGTATAATTTTTACTATGAGTTATTAAATAGATTGACAATTTTGGCTCTAAAAGATTTTATACACGACATGCTGTGATGATAACAAAGGTTATCACTGCTAGATATCTCTTCCATTTAATTTTTCTTCTATTAAAAAACTTTACCCCCACTCAATGTTAAACCACTTCACCACAGTGCTGTCAATTTTTATGGCATGACACATAATTATTTGGTTTATAATTTACAGCATTTAACTTATAACTTCTTCAGATATCATCCGACACGCGTGAAGGAGTGCAAGATCTGCGGGAAGACGGTTTTGGGCTGGATAGCCCTTCGCGCCCACTTGTCTACACACTCCACTGACTCCGGCTACCAGTGTAATGAATGCCCCAAGAGATTCAAGTATTCACACTCATTAGCGAAGCATAAGGATACTCATTTGGTGAGCTGTTTAATAATTACAAATTTTACTTTCAGCTGTTTTATCCTAATACTTAGAGAGGCTATTACTTATATCTTTATTTATTACTTAGGATAAATGTAGGTCTATAGGCCACAGCATCCACTTACATGTATGGGCCACAGCATACATAAAGTTAGCCTCACTCCCTAATACTTTTTGGCTTTAGCATATTTTTTATAATTTTATCACAACACAAAGAAAAATGTGTCAACTATAAATACATAATCAACTCACACTGGAGGCTGAAACAGGGGAAATCTTCCAGGCTAGCTCCTGACATCCAGGAGTTAAGAATGTATTGAAAGATATTTTTTTGTTTGAGCCTATTAAAATATCTTATACTTTAAGCAAGCAAGTCTTTCATACAACACAACTAATTCTGTATTTAAAAAATGTTTTACTTTCTAAGTCTATGTACCTGCGTGCCATCTTTGAAATTTTTTACCCGACTGGACAACACAGACAAGTTTCCATAGAGTGGTCATTAGAAAAATTAATAGCAGCTTTAGAAACTCCCTGTAGATACAGTTCTATATTTAAAGCACACCGACTTAATAGATGAACAGTGAGTGACAGCAATAGCGTTTCATGGTTTCCAACTCAAAATATATTTTGCCACCTATTCAGTTTCATAAATGTTGCAGATTTAGCCATGTTACTTGCCAGTGCTGATCATTACCCCGCTGCTTTGTATGTGCAAAGAATCATGAAGGTTTATCTTGTACTAGGCAAACTCCCACTTGTCTGTTCTGCTCAAGTCGCCAAAAGCAGAACAGTAAAAGACCCTACTTGCCATTCTGCTCAGGTCGCCAAAAGCAAAACAGTAAAAGACCCTACTTGCCATTCTGCTCAGGTCGCCAAAAGCAAAACAGTAAAAGACCCTACTTGCCATTCTGCTCAGGTCGCCAAAAGCAAAACACAGCAAAGACCCTACTTGTCCTAAACATCTAAGACAAAAATCTATTAAGCTTGTTATGTCACAAGAAAATCTCATGTTTAGAAACCTCATCGAGATTCCCTCAGGTAAGAAGATCTTCTACTGATACAACAACAAGCCCGCTTTTTAACTCTTCTCAACAGACCCCTTATCCCATAACTGACAGTATATCAACCCCTTCGGCTTCACCTCCACAAACTACATCATTTAAAAGGTATGTTCAGGAATAAAAAAACCATTTTTATTCCTGAACATACCTACAGTCAATCGTTAAATTCTGGATATAATTTGACAACCCATCTGGCAATTGTTGAGAATCTTACTTCTTCCCTTCCTAATGGGTATGCTTTACTTAAAATAATTTCTGCAAACTTATGATATTAAGGTTAATTTACATGATCTCTTGTTTTAGTGACACAGACTTTTTTTTAAGAATGGACAAACGGGCAACACCCGTTGGGGCCCATCAATCACTTCCATTAAAAAAAAAAAAAAAGACACGAAGAAGAAACGCTCAATAAGCCACCCCAAAAAAAATACCCCTACTTCTCTGGAACTTCCCCTCAGTTTATGCCAAAAACTTCTCAGCTTACTTCAATAACTAGCAACATTCAAAATTCTACAATGGAATTGTAGGTGTGTTAAACATAAAAAGAGTGAACTTATCTTCCTTATTAACAAATTTAATCTACTTGATCTTGCCATCCAGGGGATGTGGATAAGATGTAACTCCCTGTTTAGGGTTTCAGGTTATTCATGCTTTGGGATGATAGGAGCGATGGACATGCTGGTTCCTTCATTCTGATTTTAAGAAAAATTACACTCTTCTATACCTCTTCCTTCCTCAGTTGCTGCTGTTGCAGTCAAGGCTTTCAACATTTAACATTTGGAATGAAACATGGAAAGCATCACAAATACTAACAGGCAAACACTATGCTGATATACAAGATAGTGTTCCATTAAGAACTTGCTTTTTCAAATTTAATAAAGCAAACTACTACTACTACTATTAAAGCATGCTACTACTACTTGTCTGCTGGTTGAGAATTGGACACACCTGTATATATGTTCACTTAGCTAAACTTAGGATTAAGGATAATTCTCTATGCGAATATGGCTTAGACTCACCTAAGCATATAAAGAATATATGGTTAGTGTTTCCCTCAGGAAACACTAACCATATATTCTTTAACTGCACTAAATTGTCATCATCTCTATACGAATGTCTGCCCGCTTACATCCCTCGTCCCATAGACTCTCTCCCTTCTAACCTTTACAAATCCCTCTTTTGTATATATTTTATGTGACTTTAACTCTAACAACATTAAACTGTCTTTGTCATATCGTATAATAACACTTTAGCATATACTTATTATACTACTGCATTAGGACCGGGTCATTGAACAAACAAAATGGCACCGACTTATTGGTGCGAAAATGTTTATGGAGCACCAACGCAAGCTCCACATGAGCTTGCGTTGCTGCTTTCGTGCCGTGCGTCCGTGCAGTGTTTCCACTTTTAGATATTTTGCACTATATATTTGGTGTAAATCTACTAATATAGGTAGCTCAGTGGTTAACGCTCGCTGTAAATATAACAGAACGCGAGTAACCCGGGTTCGATCCCCGCCGGCACCGATGAAATTGTTAATTGCAATTTTAAGTGCTGATTTACCACATGCTCGGCGGTGAAGGAAAACATCGTGAGGAAACCTGCATGTCTGAGGAATAAGAAAAAAAATATTTCGAAGACATGTGAAGTTCGTCAACACGCAATTGGGCAGCGCGGCGGACACTTCGGACACTGGGATGTATATAGGCTGTAACTTTACTTACTTTACTGTTAGGCACTTTTTCAGGTTGACAGAGTTTTAGATAATTTGGGGTGAAATCGAACTTCAGGTAACCCCGTTTTGTATACCCACCCAATGTAATTTTTTTTAAAGATTTATCAAAGGGGTCATAAGAGCTGGAAAAGTGTAGAATGAAAAATATTTTTATATTTCATATTTCATAATAAAAATATTTCATTCTGTATATCGGAATAATGGTATAATATTAATTTTACTTAGTTACATATTCATTATTCGTATGAGACTAAGTGTTATTGTAATTTGAAAATGAGAACGTCTTCTTCATCACAACACTCAAGATTTAATTGTGAAATGATATTCATACTTCCAACAATGTTGTTCTTTGAAATATTCAAAATAAAGTGCAATAATAGAGGCTATTTAGATTTTTTACGATAATTTTGGGAGTTTTTCTATTCTATTCTATTGTAATTTGTATTCTAGGATAAAACCAAAATCATAAGTGGAAACACTGGTTTCGTGGTAGTTCATGAGAGTATTTAAGAGATCACGCTGATTTATACTATGCTTAATCCATGGAAAACTTTTGTTCACATGACAATATCTTGTCATTTATATCAATGCACTTTAGTATTGTTTTAACAACATTGTCTTTTGTTTTAGGTAATTCAACAGATAAGTTGCCCAAAATCAATCATATAATATTCGTTGTGACAGCTTTTTGTATTCTCAATTTACCTTTTTTATGCAGTTTGTGTCCCAAATAAACCTTTTCGCATGTAACATATCATTGGCAAATTCATCGTTACCGCCATAAAAGAAGATGATTCATTTTCAATGAACAGAGCTCTACGTAGCGTAGCTACGCTGCAGCTTTATTATGTTTATAGCACGAATGGGTCAGCTTGGCCGGGAAAGGACCATGCTCTCACAGAATACTCAGCGTATATTAGCAACTTAATACTGCTGATTAAGATTAATTAAGATTTCGTATGGTGAGTGTAGAGGTCTGGAGACCCTTTTTTTTATTGGAAATAAGGCATTCTGTCTTAGTCCTCAGGGGTGACTACGCATCTGCATTTTGATTCTTAATTGAGAATAAATGCAGATGTCTGTCTATAATCCACAGCATCCACTTACCATCAGGTGGACTGTGTGCTCGTTAGTCACCCTTATTATATAAAAAAATAACTATATAAGTATTTTATCGCGTTAAATTTTAACTTTTTAATTCCCGACTTTTGGGTGCTTTACAGTACCCATTATCAGGAGGAGAACTGAGGTGTTTGACCTCCCGATGTCACAGTTAGCCTACCTTCATTTTTTAATATTAATTTTTGGTACGGGCTTGCAGCATCTTGAAGTGTGGTACTGGTACACTAGGGTTTAGATTTAACATATTCATTACTATTGAAATTAGAATGCTTTTTAATTTCAATTGATGATTTTAATTTCAAAGGATGATGCGCAAGGATACATTCATTTATACTAATGAAACCACCAATCACATTTTAAAGTTGGTTACGAATTAAAATGAATTACCATTTGCAGGAGAAAACTCACGGCTGTGAGCAATGCCCGAAGATGTTTGGGTCGGTGAAGCTTTTGAAGATGCACATGAAAACTCACGAGCGTGTCCTACGCGGGACCACCTTCCACTGCACCTACTGTGGGAAAGGATTCTTTGAATCGTACAGTTTGCAGGTAGTTATTATTTATTAATCATCATTTATTTTCAGACTCTGGTCCATACCTGTTAGTGATGTGTTATAAAGACAATTTTTATTAGATGCTATATTAAGTAGTATTAGTAATAACAAATAACTTAAATAAAACCTTAAAAAGCCGCCAAAGCAAAAAGAGCTGATCATCTTCAAACAGCTGCTAAAGATTTTTTGAATCAAAGCTATGAACACTCGATCAAGTCGCCTTCCAACCAAAAACAACTAACTCAAAATTTATTCATCCTTTTAGGTGCTACGATACCACAGACAGAAACAGATACACGCGCTAAACTTATAACCTCCCTCTGTTTTCGTCGGGAATTAAAAATTGAAACAAAAACTACAAAACTATTAACATAGTATATTATATAAAGACATAAAACTTCTGGCTTGACAGATAATGAAACTCCTAAAACGTGTAGATCAATAAACCTTGAAAGTAGGTTGAAATTCACTCTGTTGCTAATTATCATGTAGTGGCCGTGAAAGAATATCCACTACCCGTGGGTGTCGTACAGAGGGAAACAAATCAGGAGATGCGCAGCTTCTTCCTAATAACGACTAAAAGTAAAAAACTGCGGTTGCGAAGCGTGGCGACTATGGCATATCTCCCAACTATGAAGCAATCCATTGGGGAGGTCTATGTTCAGCAGTGGACTTCAGTAGGCTATAACTGTAACGGGCTAATGATCTGTAGGATTCTGTTTGGGTTCCCTCGCACGCATCTTACAAGAGACACCACTTTTTATGTATGAATTTTTTAACGTGGTAGAGCCATGCTGCAGTTACATTAGTAGTATAGTTGTAGCACGAATGGGTCAGCTCGACCGGGGAGGGACCACGCTCTCACAGAATACCAGCGTCAAATAGCAGCTTAACCCTTAAGTGCATATTGTATCAAAAATGATACGATGAGATTATCGATTCATAATTTTGTTAAACTACGTACACACAACTACGCTGTATGTTAAATATGTCCTATGCCTAATCATCTTTTAGAATGTTTAAGTAATCGATGACCATTTCCTAAATAATTTGGCGGTAACTATGAAAACTTTTTTCCTGTCTGTCATAACCTTTTTTCGTGGGATTATAAATTTTTATTGATTTATTTTGGAGTGATTTAACACAAAAGCTGACCCGGAAAAATATTAGAAATACAGGTTAGAGTATTGTTTCATTGTTAAACACATATTTCAAGTGAATTTTACTGGCGTTTCATAAAAAAAATGATAATTTTAGTTGTATCAAAAATGATACATTATGCAGTTAGTAGGTCCCGTTTGTACATTTTCGCTAGTATAGTAGGCTTGTATGATATGTGATTGTTATATGCTTTTCCTCACTTTTGGAGCATGGAAAAAAGAAAAATAAAAGATAATGAGATTGAAGACCTTTTAGCAATATTGGAAGGTGGATTTTTATCAGAGGAGAAAGCAGAGTCTGATGATTATGAATTAGATCATCACCCAAATATTGATGAAATTCGTGCTGCTTTAGAAAATCACGGGGAAGAACAAATGGGTTACGGTGATTTCCATAAGCCTCAAATCCGGGACGAAGGTGTACCACCTCTTGTAAATGACGAAAATTATTTGTGAAATGATGATAATCCTCCCTTAGTGAATGAAGGTAGTAGTTTTGCACAAAATATTCCCAACAGGTGTCATATTACGATTGAAACTGCTAGACTCAAATGGAGGAAACATTCCTCAGAGTTTTGGGAAGATAGCATTCGTTTTCAGAACGAGACAAAATATTCTCTCTAAGTTATAGCCCTAGAAAGTCCATATCAATTTTTCAGTTATTTTTTTACTCCTGATTTTTTAGATAAGATTGTAAAAGGTCTACTCGATATTCAATCCAAAAAAATCCCGACCGACCAGATCCAATCACAAAATCAAAGTTACAATAGTACTTGATGGGAATTAATATCTATGTCAGTTTTTCATCATCCAAATATAGGAGCTCACTGGAATAAAAATACGGAATTATGCCAATTATACAGAGTATGACATTATATAGATTTGAAAAAAATTTGATATATATTACATTTTAACGACAACTTCAAACATCTGCCTATAGACAACCCCAACCACGATAAACTACACAAGCTGCGACCTGAGGTAGAACATCTGAATGAGAGTTTCCAGCATTCATATTAGACCAAAGGCTTTCCACAGATGAACACATAAAAATGTGTGCAACGAAAATGGGCCACTTCCTAAAACAATACCTCCCAAATAAACCTCACAAATGGGGGGTTCAAATTTTATATGCTATGTTCACTGCTAGGGTATGCATACAAAATTATAATTTATACAGGAAAAGATAATGAACCTATGATGGAAAACGAACCATATCTGGGAGTGGTTGGGAACACTGTTGTAAAATTGTTGAGGATTATCCCACGCAAAGTAAACCACATTGTTTACTTTCACAATTTCCACACCTCTTTATCTCATATGTATTACTTAGCTAAGAAAGGGATATTATGTCTGAGAACTATTCAACAAAATCGGTTAGGTAGGAAAGTTACTTAACTTACCGTACAAAAAATGACGTTAATGCATAATGTATCAAAAATGATACAAACTTTTTTTATTAAAATTACTTTAAAAAAAATGAAAATAATTTTTTTTCTTTATTTTTCCCAAATTCAAGACCTAAACATCTAAATTATATGTTTAAATTAGTTAAAACAAAAAGTTCATGCACTTAAGGGTTAATGCTGCTGTGTTTTGTATGGTGAGTGTAGAGAACCGGAACCCGTTTTACTGGAAACGAGGCATTCCACCTAAGTCCTCACGGGTGACAACGCAACTGCATTTTGATTTGTAATCGAGGATAGATGTAAATGTCTATGGACCATAGCAACCACTTGCCATCAGGTGGACTGTGTGCTCGTTTGTCACCCTATCCTATAAAAAAAAAAGAATGCGTAAAAATCGTCCGTTTTTTGCATCAGCAAAAGTACTTATTACAAAATATTAATATTAAAAAAACATATTATACATATCTTCCTGAAAGTTGCGTAAGAGGGGATAGAGAGAAAAAAACAGCAGATGAGCAGGAGTATCTTCTTAATAATCATAAGAAGAAGAAAAACTGTAGTTTTCAAGTTGTAATTAATAAAATGTTTATTTTCTTTCAGGTCCATGAGCGCACCCACAGGAATGAGAGACCATTCTTATGCGAAATCTGCAACACACGCTATGGAACAAATTCCAGTCTCAAGAGACATTTGAAAGTGGTGAGTATTTTGTTGATGTATACATATAAATAAACCTGAAGTCTCTGTCCGTAATATCGAAATAACTGCGTTATAGCTATATATATAGATAATAAGATGCTACATAGCACATAATAAGGTGCTATATAGCTAATGAGGTGCTATATAGCTAATAAGGTGCTATATAGCTAATAAGGTGCTATATGGCTTATAAGGTGCTATATAGCTAATAAGATTATTTGTATGCCATCAAGGCATGAACAACTATTTTTAAAATTTACTTAAACAACATATTCAGAATTGTGTATTTTAAGTAATCTACACAATACTTAGGTTAATGCAATCAATTATATTTAAAAATCAACCATCCTTTTTTTATTCCCGATAGGTGACACCATATTTATACATTTTTACTGGAAAGGAAGCATTCTAACATAGTACTCAGGGGGTTGTCACCTGCATCTGTGTTTTGATTCTTAGGGTATGTCACGAAATGTTTTAAGTATACTGGTGAATGCAAATGACGTCATTAATCGACGCCATATTGTACTGGAGTGCCGCTGCCATATTGTGCCAGATATCCCGCTATATTAAAATAATTTTTAATTGTGTGTATGCTGAATGAAGCATGCCAGAATTTGTTTTTATTTATTCAAAAACATTATAGGATTCTTGCTGGTATCTCCGTTCTTCACAAATTAATTGAAACGGGACATAATAACTTTTGGAGCACAAAATGACAAAATAATAGTCATCACTTTTCCAATATGGCGCAAATGTATGATGTCATATACTGTCCAATGTTTTAAAACGAATCACCAGTGTGGCGCCGATTTATGACGTCATTTGCATTGGCCAGTGTACTGGGCTGTATTTCGGAACATACCCTTAATCAAGGATAAATGTAGATGTCTATGAGCCACGGCATCCCTTACCTTTAGGTAGACCTTATGCTCATTTGTCACCATTATCATTAAATCAATATTATATCAAGAACGTAAGGATATTGTGAGCCTTTCTATTGAGCGGACTGTAGAAATGACTTGTTTCAACCTCGAGCACCTCATTATGTATGTGTTTACAATGCCATGTGCTACTTACGACTATTTTGAAAATTTGGAGGAAGTTTTGCTCAAACTAAGTAAACAGTACAAGTCTGTTGAACAATCTCCTTAAAACTTCTGCTATTAGTATTAAGTTTACGGTGTGCTCAATAAAATAAAAAATCTTGTTTTTTTTTTTGTTTAACAGTCGCACAGTACGTCAAAACCATTCGAGTGCCCAACTTGTCACCGGTCGTTCATTTCGGAGGTCATCCGCGAGAGACACGAGCAACGAGTGCATGGAGACCCAGACAGTTTCAAATTCCCCTGTAAAGAATGCCCGTGCAAGTGAGTCCCTTCTTGAATTATCTACTCCTAATAAGATGTGTGTAGCAAAATAATCCAATCTTTAAATTAGGGATGCATTTGATACCAATATCAATATATCAGCACTAGTTTGGAGTTGCCGATATATCTATATCGGCAATTATAAAAAATGTAAATATATAATGTGTTCTCAACATGGCCTTAACCGTAAATACTCCACGCTTCTGTCTCCAAACAACATTACAATTGTAATAAAATAATTTACAGAGGTTGAAAAAGCATAAAAAAGCAATGCAACATTGTCTTCATTATGGTTACATATTTAGCAGTGGAGTTATGACGGGTTGTAATGAGGTTGATGATAATGACACAGATGTTTGGATGATTTATTAATTTGAATTTATAATTTAAGTTTTATTTTAAATTTGAACTGACTCGCGCCGTCTAAAACCCAACCTAACAAGAACCCAAATTAACAAATCATGTTAAAATTGTTTCAGATACTTAAAAGCCAAGGACTTGAGGAAGCACATGTACAAAGTACATCCTAAAGGGAGGCGGAAGAGGAAACAACACAGCGACAGTGAATAAGGCCTCATTCCAGTCATTGTAATGTAAAATTTCCTTTGAAAACTTGAACTTGAAATGGCACATTTGATGTCCTCTAGACGGTTTTTGCTTAGCAAAGAAAATACTATATAACTACTACACAACTTTATAAAAATTAATAAACTTTAAACTACCTTAACCAGGTCAATTCAAAATTTAATACATCTGTGTGCTACATTCGTAACACAACCAAGTATTAATTGCCAAGAAACCAGCTATTTTAATACTTACGGATCTTAAACGATTTTGTACTGTAAGTCAGAAAATGGCTGTAGTGTAGTAAAAAGATAATTTAAATTTCACGAAACATAAAAAAATTCACTTAAGCGACCTTTATTTAAATTGCTCAACTTTAATTTGTTTTCATATTAAAAAAATAAGATGAGGTTAACTTTTTAAAATCAATTTTACAAATATAATTGACATTTTTTTGACTCAAAAACAATTGTATGGCAAAAGTTCTAGTTTAAACAAAAATGTCAATAGATACACGATGAGCTGCATTTTGCTCGATAGAAATATATTCTGAATGTAAGTGCGTCATTTTCTGACACATTTTTCAGTTTATTCACAATCAAAATTAAAAATTAACAAATCAGAATGTAAACGGCGTTCTTTGTTATGCGATAAATGCTTACTGCTACAGTATAAGAGGGCCTTAACAGAAGTTGGCCATCTTATATTGAATGACAGATTTTTTTGAAATTGATTCGCTGACATCTTGACTTTGGTTAGGTTCTGTTCTGTCATCATAACAGAAACAGAAACTTTTTTTATTCAAAATAGATTGTAAACAATACTTATTGAAAGTCACTTTTTTCATTTACCTCTGGTTCGCAAAAAAAACCCTGTATCCTAGTAAGAACCAGCGAGAAACCCAGCGGGACAATTTTAGCTTACAATCATTTATGTTACAATTATCAACACAAAATAATTTAGAAATAGCTTGGTAGCGATCACCCTTCTCAGGGGTAAATTATATTTTTATTACATAAATTCCTTAATATTATAATAACCCTTTTCATACAAACTTAGTTTAATAAAGTTTTTGAACTTTGTGTAGGTTAAATTTTGAACATCATAGTTGAGTTTAGTTGCACATGCACATCTTTAATTGTAGGCTGGTTTTGCTGTTATAACTAATCACAATAAATCACGCTTGACAAGCGTATTGGCGATAGCAGTCCAGATGACTTGCACCATTGGGACAATCTAGATATTTTATAGCTAGCATTTTCAGGAGACTATATCCTTAAGAGGTCATTAAGTTTTTCCAGCCTTTTACGCGATTTCACTTGTTCAATATGACGCTAACGAATTAAATCGTCACACGAGGTTGCGTTCTCATTAACTTCATGGTAGAGACGATTATCTCTTTAATAGCAATTTTATGTTTATAATTTATTCTCATTATGTTTCATTTTCTTAGCGTGTTGGGAACAAATCTAATAACCGAGATACGCCTTTGTTATTGCTACCATGTTTGACATAAATTGCATCGAAACTTTTGTTCGGTCATACAGTAATCTTTGATTCCGGTAAGGTTAAAAAAAAATACATCGTTACTTCTGGTTTGTAAAACTTATTGAAGTCGAAATGATTCACAAGAATCTCATGATCATTGCTTAAAGGATAATTCGAATTTGACCTAGAATGATAAGACTACTGTGTTTATGGCACTTACGTCATTCCGTCATTAAATGGGGTATACTAATGGTTACCATTATATGACGTTGTAATATCAAGAATTAAAAATAACATAAAATACAAACAAAGATTTTTAAAACTTCAAGTGTATTTTCAAAACATTCACTATTATGACCAATCTATTAATTCTACGTACTTTTGCGTAGATATAATGTGTGGTGGAGATATTTAATGGATAGTAGACCAGTAACGATCCTGCGATCAACAAAAAAAGTTGTTGTAAGGGTTATTTTGTAGGATAAGTGTACTAAACTTCTATATATTATATTTTGTATATAAATTTTTTTCGGTTTTTGTATTAAGAAAGGAAACATATTATGATTTGTTACATGATTAATGACCATTTATAAACGGGATAAGGCGCATTAGATAGAAACTAGAAAACACAACATGTACAGTATTAATGTGAAGGATTCATTAAAATTTAACTTTATGCTTTTAGAATATGTTAAGTGGAACCAACGTTGCCAGGCAAATGATAAATTCAACAATAGAACCAAAAAAAAAACCTTAAACCGTCAGTTGTCATGACTAAAAACTTATACTGATTTGCCTTTTTACGAGCAACGAAGCACGAAAGTAGAAATAATTAAAAATAACTTCATCAGCTTGAGTACAAAATTAACCTCTCTAGTAAGTGACGCATATATTAAAAAAATACAGTTTAAGTCAGATGTTGGTAGTGTTTGGTGAAATTGTAATATTGACAACAATGGCAACATTGGATCTAATAGTTGTAAGATGTTAAAAGTGCTGCACTTGTAATATGATTTATTTAATATTTTGTCACCAGTCAAAAAAGTATATACAATGCGATTAAAATAAGGATGGAACTGACCATAGGCTAGATCATCTGAGTAAGGTCTGCGAAATTATTTTTTTATTGGTAACATAATTATAGTATAGCCGCAAGAAAATTGTGTACACACGTATGGATATGAAACTTCTTTACAACATGTCATTCTTCTTTTATTTTATATTTTACGTAAGTAGGTTGAATAAAAGTACATACACTCGTGCCACGCCCGTGGTGAAACGTTACAAGAGATCGTGACGTTATGTTTAAATTTCTTTTACGTGATTTTAATATAACGGTGCATTATTTAAAATAATAAAATTAAGTAAATGATGCTTTGAAATAAACTCAAAATTCCATATTCTATACAGTTGTTTAAAAGTATCAATTTGGTCTTAAAGAATGCAGTCGTCACTGGAATATAAATGTGTTTAATTAATTTTGTTGAGTTTCCCCGTTTGCATAAATGCTGGTCATAATACAACAACAGACCTATAAAAACGATAGACGAGGTGCTGTGTACATTTGAAGTGGCGTGAATACCCAAAGGGATTTACTGTACACCAAAATACAAAACATCGAGTACAGTTAAATCTAAAGTAGAATATGTACAACAGGCAGTCTTATCACTCTGAAAGTGATTTCTTCCAGACAACCTTTGCGTAGAGAACTGATGCAAACAATAGTTAAAATGAAGGGGGCCATACAAAATAAAAATAAAAATATGAAATTACATATAAATAAAGATAAGTGAAAATTATTTATAAAATATCACACAATGGATTAAATGAAAAGAGTATGAGAAAGGAAAAGTAATTTATCTAATAGCGTTCTAAGTAATGCGATTTAACAAGACTTTTGAAAGAGTCGAAGAGATTTAAAATGACGAATGTGGAGAGGTAAAGAGTTCCACAAACACACAGCAGTTACGGTAAAGGATTTCTTAAAATAGGAAGAAGAGTGCAAAGGAGTAGAGAGAGAAAGATTGACAGAGGATCGAAGGAACCGATTATGGGTAAGGGAAAGATACTGGAAACGGTCTTTTAAATAATGAGGAGTGAAAGGATTAAACAGCACGCTATACAATCCGGAGAGAATGTGAGTATTCCTGCGAAGGAGGATCGGGAGCCATTTGAGCTGTTTGTGAAACTCGAATATATGATCATATTTGCGAAGCCCAAATATAAATCTAATACATAAATGTTGAATGCGCTCAAGCTTATTAAGCTGCTCCTCGGTAATGTCAAGATAGCAAATATCAGCATAGTCAAGAATAAGCAGAAGTAGAGACTGGGCGAGCGTAACTTTAGTTGCTGTGGGAAGAAAATTACGTAACATTTCTAAAAATAAACTACGTATAATTTAGTGTTAGAATACCCTCTCATGCACACATATGCATCTAAAATCATTTTGTGTGCATATGTGTGTGTTGCTTGCTAGTGTTTTTACGGTCTGCTTGGGAAAAAATAGATGTATGTGTGAGTGTCAGGAAGTTGCCCTCCGTCTATGTTTCTATATTGGTCTGAGACTAGAATGAAACTAATTTTAAACCTATGACATCACAAAATAGTGGCAAATTACTTCCAATCCCATCGTTATTTTAATTGCATAGTATACTGTGCAAATAATCATAACCTATACATTTGTTATCATTCACGTTTGATATTTTATTTTTGTTTCAAAAAAGGTTATGCTTATACCATTCAATAATACAACTTCTAGTGATTTAAAACAGTTTTAAGATAAAAAGTCGATAGAAGTCTCTGATGATTCAATTATTTTTAGGAAATAAATTATGTAAAATATCGTAATGACTTAATTAGATAAATATTTTTATTTGTATAAAATTTATATAAAGAATCTAATATAGAATATGCTAAAATTCTGCCAAAACAACTTAGAGAAATGTTGGAAAATCTTTCATTCCTTTGGCTAGGTTAAAAATTATAAGTAAGTGCGTTACATTGTAATACTAGTAAATAAGAGTCTAGAATAAATATTTGCTGTACTAGGGTTTGAACTTCATGTAGAATATAACCAAAACAAACTAATTTTTTAATTTTTAGAATCCTTATTCGGGATATTTCAAAAGTAATTAATTACACGTCTACCCTCTACATATCAATAACAAATAACTTCTGTTTATCTTTCCATTTACCATATACTACCTATTTATTATCTAGCAAATTATATTTGTATCATTAAATTCATCACTCTTATTACTTGGGTATTCGAGGTAATAAAAATGTGGGAAAGAGATAGAAAGTTACTATTTTGCTTCTCACTTTAGAGCCTTAGAGTTAGCATAATGTCGATATTCCTCTCGATACTGGTTATCGATAAACCAACAAAAGACTAAACTTAATTTATCGTCTTTCATATCGAGTAATTATCAGACTCGCTTAGTTTTCAGTTTGTGTATATGTTTGCGTAGATACGGTCGCCTTTGTGTCGCAACGCCTTGGCACGTGCCGCATAT